GTGCACATAGAAATCTGTTAACTGTCCTTGCTTTAGGGTAAAATAACACAAGCATCTGTCTCACACCCCCCCCACTACCACAAGCATTTTCTTCACAGAGGCCCTAGGTAACCATTGGAAAGTATTCCTGTAAAAGCAACAACACAACAGTACCCATGGAACCAGCCTACAAACGCAACTAAAACTGGCCTGCACCAGAAGAACTGGCTTTCTCTAGTTCCAAAGACATAACGTGGTTCATATTTGTTCTTTTGTTTTGCTCCTTCCCCCTCCCTAGGACAGGGTCTCTCTATGTGGCCCAGGTTGTCCTCAAACTCACAACCCTCTTCCTTCAACCTCTTGAACACTGAGATCACAAGCTTGTCCCACCACACCCAGCAAAAGATGCTTGTGCCTTGACGGTTGTTTGTCTGGAAGGAAAGGCAGCCACACAGCAAATCTTTATTTGAATATAATGGAGCAAAAAATGCTCTTTTATTCATCTGATGTACATTAAATATCTTTGTAGCTGTTACATGAACGATAGCTATCTGGCATATAAATGTATACACACTTTCACATGTGATAGATTTACGCTGTACACGAGCCATCCCACACGGAGCATGCCCTTTCACAAGGATACACACATGGCTGTCTTGAGACATTTGTGAAAATACACTTGGCCCAACATTTTGGCAATCGGAAATGAGACACAGAGGAGCATACCAGAAAGATGAGTTCACTGCAGGATCAGCTGAACTGGAGAAGGGGGCTCCAGAAACCCGAAAGGGGAGTTACTGAGGATCACACATGCAGCACATATATACAGTACAACAAGGGGGACTGGACCAAACAGCGGGACAGCAGACACAGCTCGGAAAATAGAAAAGGGAAAGACTACAAAGCCAAACACCCGTACACCCTGACCAAGGACAGGACCACTGCCAGATCTCATTGCCAAAAGCAGGGTGGTGGAGTTGTAGGCTGAGCAGGCAACCTAAGTGGAAGCGTGCCTGGAAGGACCTGTTCTAGGGATTCCCTTTTAAGACACCGATAAAGAGCTCACAGTCCGTTCAGTGTGCTCCTGGGTCAGGCGGAGAATAATATACAACCACATCTGGGAATGCACACTTAGCAGTTGATTTCCTTGAAGAAACACCAGCATGGTGTTCTTTGCATGGCTGGTCCTATTCTGAGCCAATATGGATGTGGAAGGACGCCTTTGAGAACTGGCATGAGTACTTGCTAAATCTTTCCTTCCCTTGGACTCATGGGTAATAGAAGCCCAAGGGCCTGGGTCTGTACCTTGGGAGGTCCAACCTCCCCCTCCCCTTCCCCCCACCTCCCGACCTCTGTGAACCCAGGGCCCTGTGCTGGCTAGCAAAGCACACTCCTGCTGAGTTGCAGGAAGCCAGGTATTCTTCAGGGCTTCAGATAGTGATATGATGGTAAATGGTTACCAGTGCCTGGGGTTATCGTAGGGGTAGGAGGAGTCTGACCTAAAAGCATTTGTTTCTTTGCTTGCTGTAAATGTGGATGAACTCAGTATAATGTCATTGACCCTGTCATCAAGAATATACATCCAATAAAACATCGTTCCATAGTACTTCCATAATAGAGGTATAGAGGTATACTAGGCATATATTACCTCAAGGGCATGGCTAATAGAAAAATGTAGCAAAATAAGTAGAAAGTGATGAGTTTTAAATATGTATTGCTTTAAAGATATAACTGATTTAATTGTATTTAACTTTTAATGATGGCTATATTTCTTGACTGGCTTTCTTAAAATCTCTGAAGCTTAAACAACTGACTCCAAAGAAGTGGGTTGAGCCTGTCCCCAGCCTTGGCTGGATTTAGATGTCACTGCCCCTTATGTCCTGGTTGGCCAGTCCTTCTCAGAGCGCCTGGAAGCAGCGGCTTAGGGCTCTATATCCTTGCGCCAGGGAAGGTTTTTAGCTGGGCATAAAAACTTACCTGAGTCTGAACCAAAGGCAGAAAGCTCTTGTCTCCTTTTAGTTCTGGATGCTCTTGGCTCCAGGGGGCATGCAAATATGGTAGGGTGGGCAACCTTTGTGGTTTAAGCACCTGACCTCCAGTACTGAGTGGGGATTTCTCACAGCATGCCATGCTCCTGGAGAGGAATGCTCCTTTTGGAAGCCAAGGGATGTCTTCTGACCCTCTGGTTCTCTGCTGATCTTATTAGGGTGTAGAGCTAGGAGGATATCAGAAATCTAGACCTTTCCAGGGGGGCCATGGATCCAGCACCATTGTCACTACACTCCTTTCTCCCCAAGTTCTCCATCCTCTGTGCTCCAGAAAGGTAAGGACATGTCCATTCCTGAGTCCTGGTGCTTTGGGAAAGCTTACCCTCACCTTGGATGCTGCTAGGGTGAAGAGGGGACAAGAAGACCGAAGAAGGAAGATTAACGAAAGAACAAAAATGAACATGAGCTGCCCAGAGGACAGAAAGATGAGGGGAAAGGCACCATGGCTCTCAGAGGGCCAGTGACTACACTCTCTTTGCCCTGCCTAGTTGAAGGCTCCAGAGCCCCCAAGATCCTCTGCAACAACCCCACACTCCATTTCAAACTGTAGCCTACAATCTCCATGGCCTCCTGTGGTCACAACCTGCTTTCTGCTGAGGCTAGAGAAGGGGAAAGTGGCTTTCGCTTTCGGATGTCCCCAAGACTGTGTGACTCAGTCAGGAATCTCTAACGCCAGAAAGGAAACACCCCCTGGGAGGGTGGGAGGAGAGGCCAGAGATCAGCCGCCAGCTGACAGGACTTGCTGAGGCCCTGGAGAGAGAGAGAGCCCTAGCATGCCCAGAGGGGAACGCACTTACTTCCTAGCTCCCTGGAATGAACTGCTGTGGAGAAACGAACAGCTCTAGAAAGGCACGGGCTACCTTTGCTGTCAGCTCTCTTCTTTATACGATAGAGCGCAATTTCCCATTGAGATCCTGTGAAGAAACACATGCATGAACGTGTCTTGTGTTCCCAGGACTGCTTAGTACTCCCTCTTCCAAAGACCGACTAAAGAAGAAGCTTTTCCTCTGCCACGCGTCACCCCGGCACTGCATAGTCCTTGTACCACCTGTTGTAGGCTATAACTTGTGTAAAACTTAGAGACAGAAGACATTGACAGAGAGGCCTAACACGAAATGTGAGAAGATATGAGATTGTCTTGTCATTCTCCTGGCTCTCCCTGTTCTCAAAGAAATACTGCAGAGGGTCAAGTATCCGCACGCAGCCAGTGCCTGAACACCTAGAACAATGGTAAGCCAGTACTTAGCCAATACACTCGTGAAAGGAGAGACTGGCCCATCTACCCAACTTTCTTCTCTCCCAGCTCCACCCACTTCAGTCAAAGACCTAAGCAGACCCACAGACTGCCTACCCTGAGGCTCAAACTGCTAGGACAGCTAAACAGCACCTGGGAGCCAAGAAAAGTGGAAGGAAGCCCTGGCAAAGGCGTGCCTGTGGTTGGTGAGAGGTTGTTGACAGGGGTGTGGCCAATAGTGAATGCGACTGCAGAGTACACAGAGAATCGCCAGCTTCCTGACACAGGGAAAGGACACGCAGTGCATCTAAGAGCCTGACCACTTCCTTCTGTCAGACTACAGGAGACATTTTAGCTAAAGTAGACACTTTGCTCAACAGGAGAACGTGAGGGAATACACAGGCCCCTTCAGGGCACTCTGCTGTGTAGATGTGCTTTTGCTGTCTCCACATGACTTTTTTTAGGGGGTGAGGAGTGGCTGGTAACTAGTCTAAGTTTGGCACAATACGGGATTTAAAAGAAACCTGATATACAGCCACTAGGCCCCAAACAATAGGTCAGTTGTCTACAATTCCAGGTGAAGGTCAAATCCAGACATTCCTGGCTTCGGGGCCTTTTGTATATGAACAAATAAGGCATCTTGATGAAGAAATAGGTAAAAAGCCTGTTTGATATAAGATAGAAGCAAACCGGAGAATATCATATTCTATTTTGGTTGGCAGAAGACATCAGTAAGTATTCTCATGGAATGCTCTGGAAACAATCCTGGAGTTTAGAATGTCTCCCAGGTGCACTAATCTCTTCGCTAGAACCCTATCTAGGGAACACTGGACTCTCTCGCCATCACCACGCCTCCCACTGCCTCTCCCTCGATGCCTGAAGATATTCTAAAAATAAATAAGTTTTTGGTGCAAACTTGAGCTCTGATTGGTGAGATTTATAAAGGAGCGTCCATCTACCAATTTATGTCAAGTCATCGAGAAACATTGTTCCTGATGGCCTAGATCCATTTAAGGTAATTTCAAGAAGACAGTGAAGTAGATGGACGGGGCTGGAGGATACAGCCTTTGTGGGTCCACCTGCATCAGGTTCTTTCCTAACTGTAGTGTGTCTTCCGGGGTTGTGCATTCCCCGGGTGGATGGCAATGGCAGTTCCAGTGGCACTGAAATGATGTATACTTCAAATCCCCAGGTTTGGGCAGCATAGACATCATGAAGACTGTCCTAGCCTGTGCTATGAGGTCTTCCCAAGCCAACTCCTGCTCCCCTTATAGACTTGGTTATTGTCTCATTTTCAGAAGGTCGCTAAGGTGGGCTTCCCATCGGTGGAAGACAGATAAGATGAAGCTACTCTCATTTTCATCCCATAGAATCTTAGAGAATAAAATAGTCATCCTTTTCCTCTATAGATGGGGGAACTAAGGACCAATATTATCTAGTGACTTAACTCTTGACCTTTTGGATACGGATTCGCCCCAGAAAGATCTCTGCCCCCATTGATACTGTGTCTTGGGTTAGTACTCAGGAGTGAGATGGATCAGGAAGCAGGACTGAGTGTGAGCCTTGAGACCCAGGATGTAGAGTGGGGCATCTTAGAGGAGTCACTGTGCCGAGCAGCTGATTTGCTATTGATTGTTTTGCTTTCTTTCATATTGACAGGATTCGGTGATAGTAAAACTGGGGAACACTCTGGACTGATTCTGAAGAGCAATGGGGGAAATCTTAGAAACAGAGTTCCAAATACAGGTACAGATGGGGCTATTCCCTTTCGTTTTTGAGTCAGCTTTCAGTTTCCTTTTGCTGTACATGAAACAGGAAGGCAGATGTCTGCCCTGGTGCCATCTAACACTCATATAACGGGGGCTTCTGTTGACTCTTATGATTATGTCTTAATCTCTAATTAAACCCAAACAAGCTGTACCACATACTTGGGAAGAAACGAGGACGTTGTCATGGACAATAAAGGTGATGCACAGTGAAAAGACTGAGGAAAAAACATGGGGGGTGAGAAAGGTGGTGACCAAGAAGGTTTGTGACCACTGATTGTCCAGGAGATTAGAAGAGATCCCTCTTGGGCCACCTGGGAAGCTTGGGGGTAGATGGACAAGAATAGTTCTTCTGAAGGAGATGATGGCGGATGGTCTTACAAAGCAAGGTTCTGCTGGGTTATCTCATGCTGACCCAACCCAGCATCCAGATAAAATTCTGCATAACTGTGTCTTGCAGTTTGGAATGTACTTGATGTAGTTAGACTATAAGATAGAGAATAGAGACAATTTGATTATGCAGTAAGTTCACTACCACTTGAGAGTCGAAAAAGCAATGCCTTTGTATAAGTCGGTTTTTCTTTTGCGCGGGAAGATAAGAGATTCATATTTTACTTTTGTAGCATTGCCTTTGCAGGCCTCATTCATCCAAAAGATCTGCTCTAAGCCCCAAACATGCCCCCTCCCCGCCTTTTTAAAAGAAGACAAATCACGGGTAACTAGGAGGGGGGACCAAACCCACATGGACAACGAATAATGCGAAAAATACTTTCTGAGATTTTTAAAATATGCATTTGTTTCCCAGCGATGGAAAAGGAAACAGAAGTGAATTCTGTTCTGGTCCCTGCTTTGTGGGTGTCTTTCAAAGCAGCCATGCCTAATGTTAAAGGTTTTCCTTTTTTCTGGCACCTTTGCAGATTTTGTTCTGATATCCTTGGTGTCCCGGCTCCGAGTATCTAAATTATCTCCAGGGAACTACTCTCTGAGACTTTCCTTCTTAACTCTAGGCTGTCCCCTCCACCAAGCCAGACTTACTTGCTGGGGACAGTGGATTAATGGCTTATGTTAATCAAAGAGCTTTTCACAGAATTTGAGCTCCAGGAGGGATCAGGGAATGTTGTAGAGGAGGGGAGACAGCGGGCCTCCAGGGAGCAGGGCCATCTTTGAATGGAATGATTAGTGTGAACAAAAATTTCTTTTTTTTCTGGAAGCTCCAGGGCTGTGGCCATGCAGGAATAGCAGGAAAGAAGCAACAAGGATCACCCTCCAACAAGGCAGAGGGAGTTAGAGAGAGAAGGCCATTTAAATATGGGACGTATACTGGCTTTTGTCACAGGCCGCACATATACAAGAAGCCTTCAGATTTCAAAGATGGATGAAAGAATGGGCTTGGGGGAGGGGCAGTTAGTGAGAGACCAGAAGGTCATTTAGCTGACAGCTGGCCCGTGGGAACGTCCCGCTGAACGTCCCGCTGACCTCTCCTTCCACGCTCATGAAGATTCCAGAGGTAAAACAGACAGACAACCACCAGAAGATGCTGTCCAGCCTGCTGGAGGGTTGCTTGGGAGAGAAGGGGGGCAACCCAGAGACAAGGCTGGGCTCAGACAAGGCTGGGTGCCCATAGCTGGGGAAAGCTGGAGGGACAGGACCTGCTGTGGAGATGGGGGTTAAACAGTGACAGTGGACAGTTGACCAAAGGAGGGAGGATGGTTTTGACCCTCAAGAAACAGCACTGAGAGAAACACCCTTTGGCATTTCCAAATGGCGTTGGTTGTGAATTTCTTGCCAGTTTCTAATTTCTACTGCCAATCACTGGACCAGAGACGAGAAAAGTGTTAACAGAATTCAAGAGGCAGATGTGACATTCTAAGAAGTGGCTTTCTTTCCCTGCATCTGCTTTCTGGCCAATTCTGGGGCAGCTCGGGAAGGAATGCAAAGAGGGCGGAGGATCTCTGATCTTCAAACACTGCGATCCACCTGCCAAGTCCCAGATACTGTGGGGGCTGCAGCCCTCGCATGTATCAGGGCTCTTCCATCTAAAATCTGGTTTCTGCAGCTCAAGCAGGTTTTTGTTGCCATCTGGGGTCAGACTTTAAATTTTTGTTGTTAGAAGAGTCACCTTGACTGTCCTGCCTGAAAGAGCCCCACTCAGGCATGCTTGGGGTCACACAATGTTTTTGAAACACCCTGCTGTAACAGCTAGAGTGTCTGGGTGTCCTTTTTTCTAAGTAAACAGGAAACATCATTCTGTATGGAAAAAAAAAAAAAGAAAAAAGAAATCCCTTTCCTCAGCACAAACTCAATTACGCCAGCTTGAACTTCCTGTTAGTGACACGTCAGGGGCAGGGTCTATTTCTTAGGCCAGAACAGGCTTTTTAGCTTCTCAGTGTCAGTGATCAGAATCCCCAGGAAAGCCTGGCTGAGTGGGACATTTTAGGAACACTTCCACGGGACACGGGGAGGCAGGAGTATCACAGTTAGGAAAAGATAACAATGCCTGGAAAAAACAAAACAGTGCAAAGTCACATTGGAGGGGCAAGACAACACACACGCAGCTACTCTTTACGTCACAGCAAAAGTTTGTGTTCTGCTACTCGGCCGCCTTTCTACACACAAAAACCCCTGCAGCCTTGAGTCAGGCAGGAGGACCGACCCATGGTGGGAAGAGATGGCTTTTGTTCCTTTACATCAGAACCTGGGTTCGTGTGTCGGGCAGGCGCAACCCCACGAGTCCGCCACACACAAGCACGGTGGAAGCCAGCAGGATGGGGATTGCTTTGGTAATGCTGACCAAGGAGCCGAATATTAGGTTTCCCAGGACTGCCGCCGCTTTACAGAGCGCATTCAAGAAGCCAAAGCCCGTTGCTCTGCAAGAGAAAGAAACACGGACGAGGTTTAGAAAAGGACACGGGCGTTAGACCCTCATGTCCCGTGCAGTCATTTTCAGTGGTCTTTTGAGTAGATTGTGTTGCATGTTAGTGGTGCGGATAATTAAATGCTTGTTAGCCAATGTGGAGGCAGAAAAGCTAGTTGTAGGGGCGTGTCCAATTTCCTGTGGACCTTCTTCCTACTCTACGGACTCTTATTCTGGAAAGGAATTAAAAAGGTGAGAGTTGGAAGGAAGGTTGCACTAAGTAAAAGTAAACGTCACTCTATATACATTCTCTCAGGATAGAAGCTGGCTCGCCCAGTTTCGGACACCTCCTGAGTCCAGGGCAAAGGTCCCAGGAAGTAAGACTGGGTGATCTAGCAAGTTCTCAACTCAAACCCCCCCCCTCTCTCTCTTTCTCTCTCTCTCTTTCTCTCTCTCTCTCTCTCTCTCTCTCTCTCTCTCTCTCTCTCTCTCTCTCTCTCTCTCTCTCTCTCTCTCTCTCTCTCTCTCTCTCTCTCTCTCTCCAGAGTGTCTCAGTGTAGCATTTGGAGCCTGTTCTGGAACTCTGCTCTGTAGACTAGGCCGGCCTTGAACTCACAGAGATCTGCCTGCCTCTGCCTCCCGAGTGCTGGGATTAAAGGCGTGCGCCACCATAGCCTGACAAGTTCTCGTCTCTTTAGGAAAGTGATTTGCTATTTTGTTTTATGAAGTGTCCATAATTTCAGTGATACCTGTATTTAGAAGAATTTTCAAATTTTGTCCCAGAATGAAATACAATGATATGGCAATGGGTTTCTTTAGACTTATTTTTTCCCCAATTTCGTCCTATTAGTTTTCTAAATGAATATTCTAGATTTTATTTTTTATACTCATTTATCTTCCACTCATTCATCTCGTGTGTATGTTCACGTGTGTAAAGATGAGCAGGGCAGGCTTACCATGAGGTACATGTGGCCATCAGAGACCTGTGGGAATCAGTTAGTGTTGAACCTGTAATCCTCCTGTCTGAGCCTCCTGAGAATTGGGATTCTAAGTATTTGCTGCCAGGTCAGTATAATGAGCTAGATTTTTTAAACAATTAAGTCAATTGAATTTTCAGGAATAATGGAGGTGTGTTCTCCTCTCTGAGGTACCAAGAAGGAGAAGTGCCAGACTTTCATCCCTAATGCTGTTGGTAGCAGGAAGAATGCAAAGACAGTCTAAGCATCCCTAATGTGGCGGGGCTGGGACCCTAACCGTTTCAGATGAGAGTCTGGAATATGTGTGTAGACATTCCTAGTTGAACACCTTTCATCCAGAAGTTTGAAATCCCAAGTGCCTTCCAATCTGAAAACTAGGAGCACACTGGCTTTCCCGTTAGTCGTGTCCATGGTAAGCTAATGTGGCGTCACCACTGGCTGGGAGACAGCTCAGTACGTGTGAGAGCAGGAGGGCCTGAGTTCAAATCCCCAGAGCGCATGTAACAGCTGCAAGGCTTTGCATGCCTATAGCTCCAGTGTTGGGAGGGCTGTGGGGGGGGGGCAGAGAAAGGAAGGCAGATGCTAGGAACTCTCTGGCCAGCCTAGCCCAAATGGTGAGCTTCTGGTTCAATAATAGACCCTGTGTCCAAAAGTCAGAAATAAAAACGGAAAGAAAGCAAGCAGGGGAGTATGAGGAAAGATGACACCCAAAGTCCTCCACGTGTCTATGCACTTGAACATAACACACGCACATCCCCTCTCTCTCTCTCTCTCTCTCTCTCTCTCTCTCTCTCTCTCACACACACACACACACACACACTCATATTTTCATCAGAATTCTCTGAGGAGACAGATCTGAGGAAATGTTATAGAGATCATTGTGGGCCTAAAGATCTTGTCTGGTTTTTGTTAGCATTTAAGACACTCAGGCACATAAGGTTTTCCCTCTTCTCTCTTCTCATCCTGTTCCTTCCCACCCCCACCTTTTCTCAATTCTTTCCCCCCTTTCTCCCTCTGGGAATTGAACCCAGTGCCTCAGACCCACTAAGCCGGTCCTATCAATCACCTAGCTCCCCCTTCACTCCTGACATGTATACTCTTTGGAATACAAACATCTTCATCTGTTTAGTATTCATGTATTGGGTGGTTTTCTGTGTCCTAGGCAGGAAACTTGAATTCTGCTGGTGATTTTGTCTCCCGCTGACACTGAGAGCTCGTGAGTTTCCCTCTGACATTCTACCGGTTCCTTGTGTTTTGGCCTCTCACCGAGTGTTGGCAGGGATTAGAAGCAGACTAAACATACAGCAATTTTAGGATTCTTTCACTTTTAACCCACAGAGGAAGCTGAACCTTGTGTGCTGCAGAATGAAGTGGTTAGTGTACACCGTGTGCCTGTGACCGATTTGTCCGTCTGTAGGTGTGGGCCTTCCTTTGACAACCACTCACCATAGCACATACAGTCGTGAGATTTTCTTCACTGTGTGTTTTCAGAACCTGAAAAGTGGATTGCGGCTCCTATGAGCCAGTCACCTGCTCCTCCACTGAAAAGGAACCCATATCCCTAATCCCTTCACCCCTGAGCTCAGGAGCCCAGACTGGGTGCTAAGGTACTTTACCAATGAGTTTGCTGGCTCACACACATCTAAAAAGGAGCAGCAAGCAACAAAAACATGCCCAAAATAAGTAGAGAGGACTCCTGCATGCTCAATGCCCCCCCTGACCTAAAGTACAGGTGTAGAGAGAACAAGGGTTTCCTGTCTTTTCTCACCCAGCCATCACCCAAAGGGAAGAGGGATATGGTGTACTGCCTCTCTGCTAGCTCCACCCTCTGCATGCCTCTCCAGCCAGACCTGTTCTCAGTCATTGCTTAGACACATCTTTAACACACCAGTCCTTATCCTATTCAAACATGGTCCCTTCAGAAGCCAGGTCCCCATTCTATCCAGGTGCCTTGATGGACTAGCATTAACTAACATTATCTTTAGTGGAGGCTCACCATCAACACCCGACTCACTCTGGGTGTTGGTTCTCCTATAGGGATTGACAAACAGATGATGACCTTTGCCACACAATATGGCAGCACTCAGAAGACTGGTTCTATTGCCCTAAAAATCTGAGTGCCACCTGTTCATCCTCCTCCCTCCCAAGCCCCTCAAGCCCTGGCTCGCCTTGGTCCTTGTTTGACAAACTGTCATGAACTGTCACATTCATCTCCTGGTGTTCAGATAAAGTACATCCTGCCGGGGAAAAGAGCTAGAATGTGTGTGTCGCTGATAAGAAAAAGGAAAACATCCCCCTGCCGTGATGAAGTCTTGGACGCCGAAGCTTCAGAATGACCCCTTTAGGGTTTACATCTAGACTAGAGGAACCATATGTCACCAAGCCATGACCCTCTGCTGTGACCCAGAACAGGGTATAAAATGCGGAGGGCTGTCCCTTCACATCACTGTAACTGGAGTTGGGAACCGGATGACTTCCGGAGATGTCTGGGTGGCAGGGATGACTTTGGCACTGGGAGCATCTGGTCCCCAAGGGTTCTAGTGGAGATGATCAAATCCTTATTTCCTAACAATCTCCATCTTTGTTCTCCAAGCCGAGGCAATGCTACAGGAGAAAATTCAGTGTCAGCATTCAAGAAATCATGCCTGCCCTTCTCTGAGAGCATAAATTATTCCTTCAGCTATCTGCAGCTGGAGAGTGGGATGCTTGATGCATCCGAGGCCCAGCTGTGTTAGGAAAACCGTCCCCAAAGCAAGTCTTCCTAGGGGCTATCTGCTTTCTCTGCAGTACAGCTTCCACTCATCTCATCTCTGCTTCTCCCTAAAACAAGGGCATTGCTTCTGCCTGTCATCTCACGCTTATGATGTCGCTTGAGGGCGAAGGACTTGAAGCTCAAGGAGCTCTGCTTGACTTCTTAGCAGCAGATTGGCCCCCGGATTCTTTCTCAAACCAAGATGTTTTTCTGCCTCTTCTGACCCAGCAAGCATTGAAAGCGGAGATCTCTCTCTCTCTCTCTCTCTCTCTCTCTCTCTCTCTCTCTCTCTCTCTCTCTCTGTCTCTCTCTCTCTCTCTCCTGCTCTTTGCACTTCTCTCCTGCCAGACTTTGTTCCCTTTTACTGCTTACACACATCTTTAACACATAAATTCTTTCCCTACGCTAACCACATTCCCCATTCTATCCAGGTGCTCTCCCCCAAGGAGGTGGCTGCTTCTTTGGAGGATTTCATCATCGAGTGGGTTCTAGTTTATCTACATTGCTTTATGATTCATTTAGCTAAATTTTATTGTATTATTTTATAATGTATGGACACTTGGATGCAACAAGGAAGCCAAGAGAGCATGTCTAAACCTTTGGAACTAGAGTTAAGGCCATTGTAAACTGTGTTGGGCCCTAGGAATCAAAGCCGGGTCCTCTGGAAGAGCAGCTGGTGCTCTTACTGCTGAGCCATCTCTTCAGCCCCATTCTGTGTCTTAATGGAGGTTGTGAAGAGCTAACCACTGGCTCCATTGTGGACCGAGGGGGACTAGCACTGTGCTAACAGTCAGCTCCTTTCTTCGCACTTTGGTGCAGAGGGCTGCTTATGTTTCCAATGAAAGAAAGACAGTGAAGAACTGCAGGACTTCGGGCCACGTCTAGCATGCTTCAGGTACCAGGGTTAGCCCTGGCTTTAACATGCTAAACGCCCGCCCCACCTACTGATGAAATTATCAGGGAAAAAGTAACTGACGCACTCCGCCAAGGTCTGGGATAGTGGAGTGCAGGCTCTGTTCACAGATGTCACCGGCTAAAAGGGAAAGGGAAGCCTTCTAGGCTGAGCTTTTTCCTGCCAGTCCAGGGAAATGATCCATAGACGTTATAAAAAGAATATTCAAGACTCAGCATGGGGCATCTGGGAAAGTACAGGCTGTGCCTAAATCAAGGCTACATTTCGATGTAAACATTCATCTGGAAACACACAAGGATTTCATTTGTCTCAGAAACAATACTGTGAACAAGGGCTAGGTTTCCCAGGTCAATGCCAGAGCTATTTTGACA